TGTGGGTGGGTACAGTGTGTATGTGGGTGGGTACAGTGTGTATGTGGGTGGGTACAGTGTGTGTGTGGGTGGGTACAGTGTGTGTGTGGGTGGGTACAGTGTGTATGTGGGTGGGTACAGTGTGTGGGTGGGTGGGTACAGTGTGTATGTTGATTTGATTTGGGTAGGCCCGCACTTGATTTGGGTAGGCCCGCACTTGATTTGGGTAGGCCCGCACTTGATTTGGGTAGGCCCGCACTTGATTTGGGTAGGCCCGCACTTGATTTGGGTAGGCACGCACTTGATTTGGGTAGGCCCGCTCTTGATTTGGGTAGGCCCGCACTTGATTTGGGTAGGCCCGCACTTGATTTGGGTAGGCCCGCACTTGATTTGGGTAGGCCCGCTCCGTCTAGGTAGGTAGGTCGTTCGGTAGGTAGGTAGGTAGGTCGTTCGGTAGGTAGGTAGGTAGGTCGTTCGGTAGGTAGGTAGGTAGGTCGTTCGGTAGGTAGGTCGCTCGGTAGGTAGGTAGTGGTAGTGATTGGTTTTATTTCTCAAAGATTACAGTTTCGCAGTGCTTGGTGTAAACCCGCACTGAATTGCACTGCTAAAACAATTCGACAAATACATGGGTTACAAATTATTAAAGAAATACATAAATTATTAATAAAATACAATCTACAAATTAACAGATTAAAAGATAACCTCTGAGTAGACATTGTCAGAGGTTAAATACATATCGTGCATACAGATTTCAATAAGCCTATTATTAATACATTATTATTGATGACTTGTCATAAATGTGTATATTCAAACATTTTAGTTCGGCATTGCATAGTGCTGGTTGAACTATTTTGGGGGACTAGAAATTTAATATTAGCAATCATTGAAACATTCGAGTCAGGGCCGTTGTAAAAAATATTATGAGAAAATAATCTCCAATTATTGATGAATTCTCGTATCATGCAATGGTTGAGACCATACGTCAAAATCTAATACGTTCAAGGTGATAATTCAGGTCAGGTAAAGATCTTTACATAAGAATTAAAATCTAATGAATTTCTTCTCCCAAACTTAACATATGTGCATTACAACATATTTGAATCGAAACTGCAAATACTGGTTGCATTATTGTTGAAGAGTGTTACAAGATAGGGTATGGGACTATTCCTGTAACGATTAGTTCGTGTTTTAATAGTGTCCAATAGGCTGCTGTTTCTTGTTCTTCTACCACTGACGTCTCCCCGGAAGGGGGGTAGCCAATTCCGGTAGGACTCAGACTGTAGTAGTCTTCTTGCGAATGTCTGACAAAGGTGTTCACGTCTTTGCTGTAGTGTGTTGCAAGCGTCAGTATAGGTTGTGTAGTCAGGCCCAAGGATGATTCGAAAAGCCCTTCGCTGTATTCTTTCCAGTTGACGTCTTTGGGACTGTGTAATGGCTGGTTGCCAAACTGGGACAGCGTACTCACAAGTGGGTTGGACAAAACTTGTATATATGGTGACAAGATCTTCTCTAGTAACTCCGAAAGATTTGAGTCTTCTCAAGAAGAAAAGCCTCTGGCTTCCTTTCTTGGCCATGTGGTCCACCTGGGTGTTTCATTTTAGGTCAGCTTGTATATGGAGCCCCAGGAGTTTAGCTACTTGAACTTGTACTAGGGGGTAGTTGTCAATTTTAAGGTCCCATTCGTGAGTTTTTGTTAACTATAGCCGCCTATGGCAAAATACGTAACTTTACATAGGCCAAAACCCAATAATTTGAATGACAGCCATCTAGTCTATCCAATCAATTTTGAGCACAATGGCCCTACATTACGTCAAAAAATTCCCAACCAGATCTAACCCAACAATCTCTTTTTATTTATTTATAAACTGCACTTGGCCACTCTCCGCCAGAGGTCCTCCAGCGCTGCTACCTCCTGACCGCATTACCCATCACAACAGCGTGTAAACATCCGACCTGTCGCGCGGATGTCAACACTTACCCACTAATTTTAGCACATACAAACAACCTCTCATATCACAAGCGGTTTACGCCAACTGACTTAGCTAAAATGCAATTTCTGGCGGAAATAAACACACATCCATACACGCATTTAATTTTTAGTACGATCTACTTGAGAGTACCCACGCGGAAGAATACCGGAATGAGACCTTTAGTGAGGGTAGTGGTGGCACAGTTTTTGAGAAGTGCAGAAACATCACCTTGCATTTGCGAGGGTAGGTAGGTAGGTAGTTCGGTAGGTAGGTAGGTATTTCGGTAGGTAGGTGGGCAAGGCGTGGGGAGGGCGCTGTTGACGCCTGCATGACCCTCAAAAGGTTAAAGGTCATGGGGCATAGAGAAGTCATAAAGAAGTGAAATTTTGTTTTGGGTGTAACTATTGTTCTTTTGTTAGTATATTGATGACGAAATTGTTTACAAGGTAAGTGGGGATTAGAAAAGGATGAGAAGGAACCCTGTAAAAGGTAAAGCACACACAAAAAACATATTGTAAGTTACACTACAATGACTATGTACAACGCAAACCTGTCTATATTAGCAACCGCTAATATTACTATCTAGTTTTTGTATCTGTTAACTGTTACGTTATCTGTTTATTGTGACCTGTACTTAGCAAAGTGTGGCAAAAATGTGCAATTAAGATAGTCATTCTTTCATTACAACGCCAAACTTGCTCTTCTTGTTGAAACTTTAGGCTACTCAGTAGTGCATGACCACACCACCTGTCAGCAGCGCCTCACCGCGGCCAGCCGCGAACTGCAGCCCCCAGCCTTGGCCCGTCCTTTCGAACAGTCTGAGTCAAAATGGCGACCAGTGGAGGTGCTTGGAGTTGGGCTCTCTGTTACTGGAGTATTTTCACGCAAGTCTGGATAGTTTTCGCGGCGGAAGGTAAGTCTATATCGTAGTTTATACTGTATTTGAGTCGTAGGCAAAAAATTACGGCTTGTTGTGTTGCGTATCGTCGTAAAAACGACTTCTTCTAACTCTTAGTGCCGCGGCCGCGATTGCAGTGGTACTAGTAATCGCTCGCACCCCATTCAAATTTTAAACACCGAGCAAAACCTTAATACAGTACTTGAAGTACAGGTAGTTCGCAATGCACAGATCCAGAGGTGCAAGTACCACTTTCTAGCTAAATTTCAGCATATTTCTGTCTTGTATGCCTTCGTAAGGGCTATAGTTTCTTGGTTCTTAAGGGTTACCGAAGCGGTCGAAGTTGCCCGTCGGTAGCGGGCTGCGTACCCACCGCCGGGCGGCCGGTAGTACCCGTGCCGCTAGCCCGGCGGCCCTAACTTATGCAAGGCACGTGCGGGTCCAACACCGGCAAACGGCCCCGTACACCTAATTCCATCAAAGTTATCACGACTGCCAGTGTGTGTTTTACCTGTAGAAGCAAAGGTTCGTGGCCTCGGTTGTAGGGCTCCTTTGCGTGTTCGGAATGTGTTGAGATATTCAACGTCGTTTTGGTTGGAGACCAACTATAACACCTAGCCCAGACTGTCAAGTGTAGACGGAAGGGAAAGCGTCTAAACATGAAAACAGTCCTTATTTTTACTCCCTACAGATGAAGGAAGAACTAACAGATATAATATTCCTTTATTAAATGAGAGACAAAAATGGAACTCAAGCGGTCAAACTTGTGAAAAAAAAACCCGCAGGATTCAAGTTTCTCGCAAAAATACCTTAATTTGAAGACGATCAAATCTTGGACTTAAAATCGTCGGGTCGTTGTTTTTGTTGGCTTTCTGTCCTTTTATAATTGTTCTGACACCCCTAAAGGTTTTCAGAAGGTGTAAAAAGCAACACGTAGGGTGAAGAGACGTAATTTTGTGGCTTTCCTCGCCAAAGAAAATGGCCCCTCGGCACAAAGACCACAGAAACACCGTGAAAGAAGTATATGGAGTGGTTTGGATGGGTTTTTATGAAGTAAGTACCATACTTCAGAAACGCGACTGGGACTGGCTTTTCTTTTGTTTTCCTTTTATTTTTCCCTAAACACTGCCTGGCTGCGTGTGGTGTTTACTATGAGTGCCACCAAAACAGATACTTTTAATCCTCAAATCCACTTAAGGTTTTAGCAACGTGTTTCATAATACTTAGAGCTGACTTCTGAATTTGCCAGAAAGACTTTCTATTGAGGGACTTATAAAGTGTATGTATTTTTTAAGAAAATAAGATAAAATAAAAGAATGATTTTTTTTTCTGTTTTCTTGAAAAAGGCCTTTGACAGATCTGTATACAAATGTAATATTACACCATGTAAGGGATTGTGTTGTCTTTGCCATTATTGTAAGCAAAAACATGTGTATGTAATATTATCCCACTGTTTTCAGTATATTAGTCTTTTGGATTTAAAATGAGATAGGAAGTGTACTTAGTGATCCTATAATTCTGCTAGAAGGAATTCCTTGGAATGATAACTAAATTGTAGAGAAATGTAAACAATGAAATGAAATAAAGTAAACAAATTAAGAAAAGAATTTTTGGAAAGACTAGAGTTTCTCAAAATCTTCAAGCAGGTGTTTGGGTAGAAAATTGTTACATTTTTGTCACATTCATGTCAAAAAGACACTGGCTACCAGAAAACATGACCATCTTTCTTCTTAATATCTGCTTGGAGCACTGTCCTACAGTCCTACATGTACATACATGTTTTTTTTGTACCTAGTGCTAGTGACATGAGTAGGTAAACAGATTAACCTGTTATACAATGTACTGTGTCTATATACATGTATACACAGTTTTACACATTGACCACAGTACAACAGTATCATCAGATCTCTATCTATTCATGAGACACTCCAAAGAGGACTGGTGAAACCTCTCAATAATGTACAGTATTAGTAGATAGAAATATCAGATAGACTTTTTTCTACCATTTTATGTTATAGCACTAGTATATGTATATTTTCCCAGCGAAGTGCAAATATCCGGGTTTGCAAAAAGATTGTTTTACCCGTGCAAACCCATATACTCCTAGTCACATTTCTTGACAGACTTCTTTACACCATATGTTTAGATGGGGAGAGGGAATCTGTATTAATTTGTAACATGGTTAGGGCATGGAGTTAAAAGATCGGATGTCGTGTTTCTACCTCCATGGTTAGGGAAGTACATGTACTGTAGCTAATACTTCAAATATCAGTTGTAACTCTTACAAAACACATGTCGACATTTGTTCCAAACAGGTGCGAGAAAGGATGATTGGGTGGTCTGGGTGGGTCGGTTTCAAGACCTTTCAAGTCTTGCCCTAGTTTTGTGTTGTTTGTGAGCGAGTCGACCCTAAGGGTACAGATAGCTGTTACTTGTTTTCTGTTTCTGGGGTGTAAAATGTCAAGATGTTTAGTGTGATAACAACAACATCATGAGGTCTTGTTCCCAGGGTCTTAGTTTCCACCAGTCTCCTTCCCAGGTCAGAAAATTGGTCAAAATGAAAATGGTCAAAATTGAAAATGGTCAAAATTGAAAATGGTCAAAATTGAAAATGGTCAAAATTGAAATTGGTCAAAACTGAAATTGGTATATGTTCCAAAAAATGTAGACTAACTTCACTATGGTTGACTCAAATTTACATTTTTTGGAACATTTACCATTTTACACCAGTTTTTACAGGTTTTGCCTAACAAAAGATTTTTTCAGATTTGCTATTGATAAAAATATTAGTAATTTGCCTCCAATCTATTCCCGTAAGCTTGTAGAATAAATCCATCATATTGCAACAGCCCCATAAAATAAGGTACATATATTAGCATATCAAAAGCTAGAAGTCTGCATTCTCAGGAATTTTGATATGCATATCAAAGAGAATTATGAGAAACTTTCGACTGTTCTCCAACTCTAAGAATATCAAAGAGAAAATGTGGTTTTCTTGAATTAAATTGTTTGGATCTTTTTTAAAAGCTGAAACCATTCAACATAGCATTTGATTTTTGAATAAATTTCAGCATAATTTCAACAGACAATATAAAGATTTCATCCCTTGAAAGGGCCTATTATGTTTTATTTTCATGTGAAATTTATTTGGGGTCCATAAAAATATGGCCATATTATGCATGGACTATATGATATTATATAAATGTATATTGGGTACCATTTAGGATAAAACCTAAACCACCATAATTTTATTGTCTATAATGGCAATTTGCTGGCTATACATTAATAAAATTCAAAAGTAGTGACGTATTAGAGAAACAAAAATTTATCTTTTTTTGAAACCTGTTTCTCTAGAGATCTTTTTTTAAAATGATATTGTCGACAAGTTGTTGAAGGCTCATATGCGGTGTCTGTAATGATGTTGTTCACCCATGAGGACCAGATTCGCATCTCAAAGTAATGAAATTATGAATATAACATCCAGATATCACCTGCAGGGATGTGCAACAATTCTGGCCTCGCTTCGGTCGAACGAACAAAATCACTTGATGGCTTCTGTTCTGGTCCACTGAGTAGAGAAATGACATCAGGTTTTATATAGAGATTATTCATATTCAACAAATATATTTTCCACGGTAAACCTATTTAGCTAGTACTGTAAAAAAAACAGAAATGAGGTGAGATGACATTAGGTTTTATATACCATAGATATTATTCACAAACATACAAATGTATAATTTGCAACAAAATACCTGTTTAGCTGTTCAGTAGTATAGAAAAAGCAATGGGTCAAAATGACATCTAATTCTATATAGATCTAGTTTTCATATTCAACAAATTTATTTTCCATGGGAAAACCTCTTTAGCTGTTTGGCACTGTAAAAAAAGCAATCAGTTGAAATGACATCAAGTTTTATATAGATATTATTCATTTTCAACTAATATATTTGCGACAGAAAACCTGTTAAATACTACAAAAAACAGCAATCAGTTGAGATGACATAAAATTTTATGTAGATATTATCATAATTTCAACAAACATATTTCCAACAGAAGCCTGTTTAGCCGTTGCTGTAAAAAAAAACAGCAATCAGTCGAGATGATATCAAATTTTTATCAAAGTTTTATATACTGTACTACATTGTAGATTTTATTCAATTTCAAACAATTGATTTGCAAGTCGGTTTGGTACTATTAAAAACAGCTATCAGTTGAGATGACATCAGGTGAATATACCATATATGTTATAAAAAATTTTTTATGTAGATATTATCATATTCAGATTACATGTATTCATATGAAAACAAACATATTTCCAACAGAAGCCTGTTTAGTCATTGCTGTAAAAAAAAACTGCAATCAGCCTGCCGAAAGCGAACATGTTTGCGATCGCTGATGACAGGTTTCGGTGCAGGTAATAGCGCGGGCTCTCATGGGAGTTAGCTGTTTACCTAATGTGGAATTATGAATATCTGATGTTTCATCCCCCCCCCCCAACACCCCCGAGCGGTGATCAACAACTGTTCATCTCTTCGCTTGTGAGAATTTATTTATTACGCTACGCCAATTTATTTCCTTGGAGGATGATGGACATTTTTAAACAGAATAAATCCAGCAAAATTCTGAACCAAAATCTAGCAAATTTCTATAGAGAAAACATTCAAATCTGTAAACAAATCTATAAATTTTTTGACAGGAAATCTAATAAGAGGATAACAGAGGAAAAGTAAAATCTAACAATATTTAGTTTTTGAAACTGTACTGTACCAAATTTTGACCGAATGGCCTAAGCATTTCATTTACGTTTTGACTTTGAATTTGAGAGTACAGACAGTTCCAGTTCAGTAGAAATTTTATTTTTGAATCAGAGAAACTAGACATTATATGGCATAAGCAGCTCTCCTTTTTTTTTATGTGTTCAATGCAACAAAAAACCTGCTGTAACCATGACAGAAGCAGCCACATTTGTAGTCGAGTCTCACGAGTGGTCCTTTGTGAGGACCCTTTGTCAAGCA